TTCCATAAGAATCTCCAAATTAGTTACCAAAAAAATAGGATTCAGATTTTGTTACAAAAGATTCACATGTATTTTTTTGAACTTTCCATTAATAGTAAGTCAAACATTATATTTATTTGGTCAAACTTTCTATTAATGTATTTTTCCAACAACCTCTTTATATATACTAGTAATCACCCGTGCGATGCACGGGGATATTATTATCTCTACGCTTTTTAAAAAAATAATTTTGTATATAAATTGTATAATAATGCAATGATCATGATCATAAGAATAGACATATAAACATATAATTAAACTGAAAAGATCATATATTATTGAACACTTCCTTATATACAACATTATTGGTTTGATTCTTTTTCACGTCATCTTCGCCACAAATTAAGATTTTTAAACCTTTTCGGTTAGTGACACGGGAGACAACAACATATAATTGGCCATGACTGAATACTGGTTTCTTAAGAAATAAACCAACATGATATAAGGATTGTCCCTGGCTCTTGTTTATAGTCATGGCGTAAGAAACCATAATGGAAAACTATCGCCGCTAGAACTTGAAAGGAATTCTAACATCAGAAGGAGTTATGACCATTCTTGGAATCAGCACCTTATCACCAGCATGATCTCCTGTGAGTATCTTACACTCAAGAACATGAGTGGATAGCTTTGTCACAACCCATAGAATGATACATGTTCCGGAACAACATGACTGGAGTTCCAATCTTTAAATACAACTCATGGTTCGGTACTCCGGAACACTTGATACTATTCAAAAACTCAGGCGTGTGGAGATTAGACAAAAAATCATTATTAGAATCCGATTTGCACGTACTGTCGGAGCTCAAGTACATACGACCATCCAACAAATTCAATAATGTCATGTACTCATTGATAGACTCGACCACATCCAACGTCGGCGCTAATATAGCCCTATCCTTCAAATAACTTGGATAGTCGGGTGCCTCTTTATACATTGGATATGTGCTTTCAACGATCTGAGCAATAGGATCATCAGATGGCTGAAGCAAAATGTCCTCGGGTATGTCTATAGCTGCACATCCATCATTCGACCCCTCGATAGTTCCATCTCCGATGTTGGCTATCCAATATGCAAATTGTGCAAGCTCATCACGTTCATCCGAATTAGCAAGTCCCTGAAGGTGTATGTTTTTCATAAGCCTAAACACAGTAGAACTTCTCCATATGTCAGAAGCATTAATGGCAGCATTGACTATGTCTTGACGGCTACCCTTTGGAATGACATGAAGTATTTGTCGAAAATCTCCACCAAAAACAACCGGCTTCCCACCAAACGGTTTGTTCAAGTTCAAAGGATCAATTGTTCCCATAATACCCTGCAGCGATGTCTGTACAGCTTCGAAACAATGCTTATGCATCATTGGTGCTTCATCCCATATTATTAGAGAAGCACGAATTATCATTTCCGCTAGAGGGCTTGACTGATTGATGTTGCAAGTAGATTCCTGGTGGGGATTCAATGGTATAGCAAATCGAGAATGCGTTGTTCGTCCACCTGGCAACAAAAGCGATGCTATTCCGCTGGATGCGACACATAAGACTATGTCGCATTTGGATCTCAAACCAGCAGATAAAGTCCTCTACAGGTACGTCTTCCCAGTTCCACCATAACCATATACAAAAAAGAGCCCTCCTTGGTCGGATTCAACAGCGGACATAATTCTTGAGTAGGCACTCCTCTGTTTGGTTGTCATTTTTTTAAGAAGCATATCGTGTTCAACAGCGAAGGCCTTTCGATAATAATTCAATTCATCCAAAATTAGACAATTCGAACTTGAATTGATGTTCTCCCTATCCGGAAATGGCATAGTTGAGTATTCACGAAGACTTGACCCACGTCGTCTCAATAAATTCTCAATCTCAGCAAAGGGCCAGGTTCTTGATTTGTTCTTCAGTGAGCATCAAACCTATAAACCAATTATTTGTCACAACCAATCGATGCATTTAAATTTTGAAAAGTTGCACACAAATTTTCCTAAATAATTGGATAAGGTGACTTTAAATATAAAAGATGAACCGCTTTTGTTACCAAAAATTGTGGACACATTTTTGAATGTACATAACGTCCAAATATCAGTTTTATTTTAAAATAAAAATTACACATGGTTTTATCCAATTTACACACTTTGTTTGAAAGAAAAAAATTATTCATTAAGATTGGAAGAATTGGTTAGAATTTATACAACTATTTGTTTCGTAAATTTGTATCCAATTTGCACGATTTTTAAATTGATTTGTATTTAGAATTTTTTTAATAAATAATGGATACATTTTTTGCATAAGAATCTCTAAACTTGTTACCAGAAAAGATATGATTTAAATTTTAGTAAAAAAATAAAATATGATACAAAAAAAATGGGATTCAAATTTTGCCATAAGAATCTCCAAATTTGTTACCAAAAAAAATAGGATTCAGATTTTGTTTCTAAAGATTTACATGTGTTTTTTCAAACTTTCCATTAATAGTAAGTCAAACATTATATTTATTTGGTCAAACTTTCTATTAATGTATTTTTCCAACAACCTCTTTATATATATATATATAGATATAGATATAGATATAGATATAGATATAGATATAGATATAGATATAGATAAGGTTAGACGGGATAGCGGACTTTTTGTGCTAAATCAGCCATTAATGATTTATGTATCAAAATTTTCAAAGTTGCAAATTTAAATTTGAATAAGCAGAACACCTAATTTTAAATATATCCACATAATTTAATTTAAATTATATCGATATAACAGTAAAACTAAACATTTTGTAAATTAATATTAAATTATATTACATGTTTCCCATCGTATACTAGAAGAAGTAGCTCTAATGCATTTTATTAGAACTAGTACGTAGTTCGTGCGATGCACGTGACAGAAGTATTAAATGAGTCATTTCCACAAAGTTTGTCCGTTAAGTACCTCATGCAATTCACGAGAAGTATTAAATGAGTGGACTATAGGGCTTGTCCATTCAGGTATAAAAAATAATAGAGTTTGATCATCTATCTTTTTACATCTTTTTATCAACGTCATTTTTTTGTCGGAACATTAAACCTGAGTCTGGTAGCGCTAGCCCATAAATTAATTAATATATTATCTCGCTCACATTATTATAATAATATAAATTTGATTTCAATATGTATATTTATTCATTGATATAAGAAAAATAACAATTTTACGTAATCTTGTTCATCGTATAATACTCATATTATTTTATTATAAAATTTATTGTAATATATAATGTCATTATTATTATTTATACAAGTTATAGATGTAGTCTTCTTCTTCTTTTTGTTTTATGTAATTAAAATATTTAATGTATGTTCATATTATTTATTAATGTAATTGATTTAAATTATGTAAATAAATTTAAACTAAAACATTTTGTACAAACTTTTTACAAAATATACACAATTGTTTTTTTAGAATTTAATTTTTTTATAATAAATAAATATTTTTAAAATTCTATGCAATTATTAAACATCCTTGATATAAATTCGAAATTATAATTGAATTCTATGCAATTATTAATTTCGTCCGATGTTATGGAAAACAAATCATTCGGAAATGTAACAAAATGATAAGAAATTTAAAATTTAAATTTTAAATGAGACATGTTTTTACTTGAATTTTATGCAATTATTATTTTGTCTGATTTTATGGCAAACAATTCATTCAAGATTTTAATGTAACAAAATGATAAGAAATTTTAATATTTAAATTTAAATTTGAAATGAGGCATGTTTTAACTTGAAGTCTATCTATCCGATTTTATTGCAAAACACATCAATTAAGGACGAATTAATGCAAATCAGTTTTTTAGCAATAAAATAATAATACAGAAAAAATTGATGGAAATAGAATGCATTAATTGTCCTTTGACTTTTCTTGCTACTAATTTTAGTTAAATAGGATGGTTCTTTATATATATATATATATAATATCATAAATTTCAATATAACAACAAATTAAAAAGATATGTAGTTGAGAAATAAATAAAATATCTTTTCCTATATAAAAATAAATACTATGTGTTAACTTTTTCTTTTTTTGTACTAATATAAATAAAATGAAACAACAGATTAACCAGTTAACCTAGGACTAACTCACGTGCTCGGTCAAAACTGTCCAAACAAGAAGAAAAATGATACATAGCCAACCTGTGTACAATTTAGTTGACAACACAAGTAAAAACATCTATAAAAATAAAAATAAAAAAATACATATTTTTTTATTTTAAAAAGTGTATATTGCAATTATTTTATTTCTTTGAAATAGTTAAAATAATGATTTGGTAGATAGCCCTTTATTTTATCAATTAATGTGATATTATATAATTAATATTTAAAAAAATTTTATTTTTATTTTTTAAATGTAATGTTATACAAATGTTGGACAAATAAGCATTTCCAAAATTTCATGATTTTAGGTTGAGAAATGAATGAGTTAAAATGTTAAGATGACATATATGTCAAGATGATTTTATATGCAAGAATATTCAGTATAAAAAATACACAAGTCCACTTGAGTATTTTTTTATTTTTATTTTTATAGATATTTTTACTTGTGTTGTCAATTTAGTTGTACACAAGTTGACAATGTAACATTTCTCAAACAATAAACTACGATTTAAATGAGCCATGAATACAAGACCTAACCCTATATTTTCGAGCTAAACAAGTTGGCTGGCCATTTATCATCTATACCCGAAAGCGTCATTAGTCAATTTGCTTTTGGCATTTGGTGGGCTTCTGGAGTTTGTAATTAAGCATGATTTGGGCCCTGTGGTCCTATGCACACATCTTCAATGTGTAAAATAGTGGGCCGAGAAAGAGATGGCCCGCTAAAATTCTCCTTATAGTTGTCTCTCTCTATGTGAGACTATAATAGTGGGAATTGGGATCTGTAATTCGTAAAATCCTTTCAGCCCTCGTGTTGCTGTTCTTCTTGTTCTTGTCCAAATGCCATTGTTGCATGTATATTTATGCTTCCTATAGGCGAGCCTTCGAGCCATGAGGCCTATTTTTTGCGGAAACTTTGTGTACGAGACTCGGCAATCGGACCTGGAGCTGTTGTTCTCCAAATATGGAATAGTCCAACGTATCGACATGAAATCAGGTGACTCATAAGGGTTTCTCTGTTTTTTTATCCGTTTTCTTGTGATATATGTTTGTACTCTTTTTCCACATTCTGAGTATTATCTGTTTTTATGATGAAAATGCTTGAGTTTGCTTCGACCCAAAAGAATTATTTTTTATATCCTCTGTCTCTTCACTTACAAAGATTCTTTATATATGGTTTGTCTGATAGACGTAGTTGGAATATGAATATAGTATTAGATTGGTTTTTTGCATTGGCCATTTAAGAATGTACCAGTGAAAACAATTCCGATTGACTGCGTGCTATGTGTATTTGGACATGAGTTTGGCTCATAAAGCAACTCGATAGTCGAAACGCAGAGTGCCAAGCAGCTGCTTGATCGAGCCAAACGAGATAATGGTTGCAGTCATGATTGACAGCATATCTCATGGCATGCTTCTTTGGTTGTTGATTTGTATGTGCTTTTGCATTTTCTTTTGTTCATAAAAAATTTGTGAGCATTTTGTAGTACGCTTGTGCATTAGAACTACATCTCTCAATTGGAGCAACGGTAGCATTAAATAATACTTAAGGCTAGCTGCGTTGTATATTAAGTGACATGCATTAGTTTCATGGAACCAAGCAGTGTTTCTCGAGAAAATGGACAGGAGAACAGAAAGTAAAAAAAAAACAAAAGAAGAGTCATATTGTTGGAAAATACAACATGGCAGGCGATGAATCTTAGCTGGGGGATCCATGTTTAAATGTTTGTGTGTGCAGGAATATGTTGCATAAGGAAAATGAGCTTCTGTATTTGCTTACCATCTACTCTGCAGTGATAACATCTAATGCAAAAGCAACCTATCTACCACCAGCTTGGTAATGGTGGACATGAGTTAATCATGCCATGTTACCACAATTTTTGTTAACGGATCAGTATTTTGGTTCATCATGGCCAGTTTCCAAGTTCTATCATGCAGCCTCATCAATTTTACTAAATTCTCTGCTATCATCAATGTTTAGGTTGCTCGACTCACCATAGACTTGGCCTATAATTTTCCATCATCATTCTTCATCTTTCTTTAGTTCCCCATGAAAGACCTCCACATTGTTACTTTTTCTTCAGAACCTTCACATGTTTGCAGTTTTTGTACTTAAGTTTAATTTCTCATTCGCAAATATTTCTTGGCGAGCTGTTAACTGATGTGGCTGGAGTGAGTCAAGTGACTCTGAGGTGCTGTAATTCTGTAAAATTATTCTGTATTGGTTATGAATCTCAAGTTTTGCTAATTTTTTTACATTCAGGATTTGCTTTCTTCTATTTTGAGGATGAGCGTGATGCTGAAGACACCATCCGTGGTCTTGACGACATACCCTTTGGGTATGACAGGCGGAGATTCTCAGTTGAACGAGCCTCACTTTTGTTTAACTTGTCCTGAAGTTTTACATAAATCTGTTGAGAGTTATTTAGTTCTAAATTATTAACATTTTTTTATGTGGTTTTCATCTTGTTAAGGCGAACGTGATAGGCATCATGACGGGAGGGCTGCAAAAAATCAGAGGCCAACAAGGACCCTTTTTGTGATAAAATTTGACCCTGTCCGTACCAGAGAATATGATATAGAAAGACACTTTGGCCCTTATGGGAAAGTTCTCAACGTGCGCATTTGTTGGAATTTTGCATTCGTGCAATTTGAGACTGTGGAGGATGTAAACAGATGCTCTGCAGTGCACCCATATGAGGTTTTGATCATCCGCATGTACTTTTCTCTGTGTTTCCAGTAGTATCACAAGTCCGTTTGCCCTTTTTAGGTGTACGGGTTTTCATAAAATTGTTTCTCCATTTTATTTATTTATTTTCCTTATTTCCTTCTGCATATGCTGAACTCACCCCACCAACCGGACGGGATACAGCATGCAGACGCCCATTTCTTGTAAGTTCTCATTTGCTTAAAATGTTCAAAAAGACGAACTTAAACGCACAATACTAAGGAGAGCATAATTACAACTTTCTAATACAGCTGTAGTTTACTTCTGCAAGTAGCTTAATCACACTTTCGGCAGCACTTGCCGATTACGAACCGAAAATCCAAAAAGAGAAGAAAAAAGCATCATACAGAATTAATATTAATATAATTATATAATTGTCAGTCAGTAGTTGTTGAGGCATTGCATGCCTACACAAATGCCCCTTGAATGGCCTTGTCTAGCCAAACCTCGGCATCTTCCATCATCTCTGGACTAAGTCTGACCATAAGAACACAAAACTCGGACTCGTTGAGGGCCCCATCTCCATCAAGGTCTCCTTCACGAACCATGGCCTCAGCATCTTCCTTACTCATCTCCTCAACTCCCAAAATCGAGCAATTCTTGTGCAGGCTCGAGGGTGTTATTAGTCCTTTGGTGGGGTCCGCCAGGAGTCGGAACCCGCCACAGAGCTCGTCCATGAAGGTCTCGGCATCGAGCTTGTCAGCCATCACCGTCAGCAAGTCTTCGTATTCTCTACACTCTTCTTTTGTTTCCATTTCCTTCGTTTTTTTTTGAGAATTTTGAAGTGAGTTGAGATTATTGGGTGCATATATGATGGGATTGAGGATTGAGATAGGCTCTTTATATTGTTGCACAAGCGCTTCTTATCATTTGTGCGATTTTTGAAATAAAATGGACGGTCTTGATTTCTCTCATGTGTGTGTGTCTTTGTGTTATTAAAAGGTGATGCTGAACTTGTCAAATTTGTGATGACTACCAACTTGATGGGGAAAATGTTAGTGTCAAGACTTGTGGCCATGCCGTGAATTGCTTTGGTTTTTGTCCAATGCATGTTTCTTCCAAGAAGCTTCCCAACTTATTTGTATGTGTGACATGGCAAAACTTTTATTTATTTTTTAATTTTTATGTTTTCTTAATTTTAAATTTGATACTTTATAACTGTGTATAAAAAGTCCCCCGTCTTAGTTGAGAAATTTCAGTCTTCTACTGCTACTTAAAAGGAATAAGAGAATATTGACTTTACACTTACAAGTATTGCGTGTGGATCATCATAGGTTTATTGAGATCCAATGAATTATATGACAAGTAAACCTAATCGACATATGTCTTTATAAATATATATTTTTTTACTAAAATATATATCATACTTTAATAATATACGTATGCATTTTTATTTCGCATAATATACACTAGTTGGAGGCAAAGTTATGCATTATCAAACTTTCTTTGTACAAGAATCCATCTACACGGTCGTTCATACACGTTTAGTTTGTGTTGATCTAACTATAACTATAATAAACCCGCACTACTTACAAAGTAGAAATGAATTAACCCACACAAATTAAATAACTAGTGACTGAAATAAAGAAAGAACATTGAGATACATGATGTTCATAAATCAAATCAATAGAATGTAGAATCATAAGCTTGGGCAATCTTGGACTTTGCCAACACAGTTTTGCCTACTTTGTACTTGTGATTCTCATGATAAGCCTGGTAATATTTCCAACCCAAAATCTGCCCACAATCACCACAAAACACATTGGACACCATATGTTTGCCGCTGATCATAAGCCTGTCCGCTTTTGGCCCTTCACTTACATTCGTAACCTCACTAAATAAAAATGCCCTTTTGGTCCCGGCCTATACAGACAACAACAATAAATCAAACACCTAAACCAATTCAAAAATTAAAAAAATAAAAAAAAATCATAATTTGTTCTTTTTTTGTTTTTCAAAAAATTAAACGAGAGAGAGAGGGCTTAATAAAATCCGAAAACGTGTTGAAACCCTATCATAAGTCAACTCATGACGAATGTTAGTCAAAATCACGGTCAACAAAAGTAGTGATAATCTAAGAGCTTACCACAAACTGCTTGTTAACAATATTATCAGTAGCTGCTACTATGTTTCTGCACATGAAGCAACAGAACAATCTTGATCCAATTTTATCTTTATCGTCCATGGAGAAATATTTTGAATTGATAAAATCGTATCAAGTTCTTATACAGGTGAAGATACAGTAGTTTCATTTGTTGTGGAACTTTAAAGGCTTATCTAACTTTTCGGGTGTTTGAAGAAAAGCCGATTTTCGCGGATACTGAATACAAACTGATCGTATCCCTCATAAATTGATTACATTCATGAGTGGATAAATTTTGTTATTAATTGTTGGAAATTTGAGTGTTTTTAATGGCACAAATATTACCATATAAGCTCCCGTTCTTATATATAATGTTTTGTGTGTGTGTGCGTGTGTGATGATCTAAATTGAAGTCGAGAAGTGAACTTCCATATAGACAATGTTTTATTTTATTTTTTGCCACATCACATCCACATAACTAAATATAATTGCATTAGAGAGGCTTCTCGGAAAGAAACTTTTTTTTTTTAAAAATACAATATTTCATTGAAGATCTAAGAAAAACAATCAGCAACATAGTTTTCACCAGGTGAAAATGGAGTTTTATTTATAATAACTCAAACGATATGTACACCATTCTCATACACATAATACCCCATTAACTCCAGGTTCAAGGAGAGAATTAGTTCAACAAAGGGTTTAGCTATCTCCACTCTTTGGACAGGAATAGCACCCCAGCATCCTCAAAAAGGATACACCATAAAACTAAAACATTAGAACAAA